AATTCCCTAGAATTGGTCTCCAAGATGAGAAATTTTTGTGGGATCACAGTTTTGAGACTCAGTTTTGAGACTCAGTTTCGAGAAATTCCTGAGAAATTCTCCGGAATTTTTCCCCACGAAATTCCTCAGAATTTCTCCAGAAATATTCTTTGGAAATTCCTGAGAAATTCTTAGGACTTTGTCACCATGTTTGCAAATTTTTCAGGGAATTTATTAAGAGAATTAGTTTCGAGAAATTCCTGGGAATTTCTCCGGAATTTCACACCAAGAAATTCCTGAGAAATTTTCCGGAATGCTTCTCCGGAAATTCCTGAGAAATTCTTAAAACTTGGTCACCAAGTTTACGGATTTTTCGGGGAATTTATTAAGAGAATTAGTTTCGAGAAATTCCTGGGAATTTCTCCGGAATTTCACACCAAGAAATTCCTAAGAATTTCTCAGGAATATTTCTCCGGAAATTCCTGAGAAATTCTCAGGACTTCCTCACAGAATTTTCAAGTTCCGTTTTTCACCAATTGGTGTCTCTGAGGTTCTCTTCTTTTGTGCACTGCTCAAACTAAATCTTTTTTTCTTTGCATCCTTATTGATAAAAAATGATAATTTACTTCAGAACCCTCTTTTAAAAAAATATTCAAAAATTTCAAAACATTTCTGTAATTGACAATTCACTTGTCTGAATAAACAAAATACATGACAACTTCAGTAAGATCAAAAACGACTACAATATTCTGACTTAAGCAGATGGTTATACTTCTAAAAAGTTGGAGGGGCAATATAGTTTTTAAGTTATTCACTACTTTTGATAGTGAATATTTCAAGATATTCCTGAGGAACTCTTGAGAAAATCTTTGGAATAGTTCCAGGGAAATTCCCAGGAATTGGTTCTGAAGACCTTTTTGCTACACATTTTCTCTGGTTTTTCTAAAGAATTGGTAACAAGAAATTCCCTAGAATTAGTTACAAGAAATTCCTTGGATAGAGTTACGAGAATTTCCTCGGAATGGGTTAAAAGAAATTCCTCGGAATGGGTTACAAGAAATTCCTCGGACCTGGTTCCTGGGAATGGGTTACGAGAAATTCCTGGGAAAAGCTTTCGACATTTTCACCGGATTTTCCTGTGAAAGATTCCTGGGAATTTCCGCGGATTTTCCGCAAAATTGTTACTTGGGACGGGATAGCAAAACTGTGCTCAATATTCACTGAAACTTTTGTATTACGGAACAGCAAAACTGAGCTTTACATCCACTGAAAGTTTGTTACAGTACAGGAAAACTGTGTTCAATATCCACTGACAGTTTTGTACTACGGGACAGCAAAATTGTGCTGATATCCACTGAAACTTTTGTATTACGGAACAGCAAAACTGTGTTCAATATCAACTGATGTTTCGTTTTAAATCTGGGTAATCTTTGGAAACTTGGAAATCCTACTTTTGTATGAGCAAAACTGTTGAGAAGTATAATTATACGCTCTAAATGTATTTAATATGTGTCTACTCTGTTCAAACTAAATCTATAACTACTCCCATTCAAAATTCAATAAAAGACATAATTTTAAAGTTTATGGAGTTAAATCCAGCATTTTTACTGGAAAAGGTTTTAAATTGGGTTACAAAATAAATTGCGGCATTACATTAAAGTGTGCGCACTGACTGTTTTATTGGTTATGATGTCAATTTTATGAAATAAGTCTGAAATATACCTTTTGAGCGAAATCTTTATCTCTTTTGAGGTAAAACATTTACCTCGTGTTTAATTTTTTTGTTTATGAAAATTAGAGAGGCAGACAAGGGTGTTAAAATTTACAATTTCTAAAAAAAATAATCCTATTTCATGATGTTACAAGAATGCTAAAAGTATATCAAAACCTTCATTTTTGCTCATTTATTTTTTTCCATCGTTATTTCTTCATCTTCTGTGATCCATCAACAAAAATAGAATTCCGTAGAAAAAGTTAGATTTTCTCTTTCTCCCAAATTACAGATCAAAGGAGGACATTTTTAAAGATTTCTTCTCTGTGAACTTTCAAGAAAAAAGTGTGTCCCAAAAAAGTATAGTATTGCAAATACGAAAAATCTACATTTATTTGGTAAAAATGGGTTATAAAGTTTTTAAACGCATTGTTCTACAAGGAAAGGATGAGGTATTCAATATTCAATGTATCATTTACTCTCAGACAAATTTTTATTGATTCTAATTTGTCTGAGAGTAAATGAAATTCCTTTTTTTTGCCTTTGTAGATTGTCAAAGTATCTTTCAATAAAAATATTAAATGAAAACTGTTGTATACCAAAAAACCAGCTTTTTATAAAGGAATATATCATTGCAATTCAATGTATGATGTCCTTAAATATTTCAAAATATAATTCTGTCTGAAATATTTAACATCTAAAGATTAAAAACTGTTTTTATGTATCACCTTCTGGTCTGGCTCAAATGGAAGTATAGAATTGTTGACAATAGATTGTTATAATATATCTATATATATACTTTGCTTGTCTTGGTATATGTTTGTTTGTTTGTATCCAATTAACGTCAAAACAGTTGAACCGATCCGGTCCAAATTTCGTATGACCCAAGGGAAGGTTTATTGATACTCAGAATTACAATAACTTGTATCCAAAAGCTTTTGATTTTTGTAAATTTTAAAAATGCGCGAAAAAAAATATTTGAATATCCGTGAACTTTGCTGTTTTATACTGTACTGTACAAAGGGAAGATGCTTATAATTAAAAGTTGAAATATAGGATGGATGCTTTTAGGGCGCTTCGCACCCATCCTCTATTTTTAACTTTTAATATATTTAATATAACAAGACATTCGTATATATATATATATATATGTTGTGCATAGCCGGCCAAACGGCTTGCCGATTAGATTGAAATTTGTTGTGGACACTCATTGGTGGCCGGGTGGTGTTATAGACTAAAAAAATTCAAAAATTATTTCTAAAATTTTTTTCCACAGGCAACTCCGGGCTGTTCAGCTAGTTATATATATATAAAACCTTCAAAACTAGTAAAATAATTAAGTGAAATTTGGCAAGCAAAGAATTTTAAAGAATAATTCTTTTTAGTCTAAGCCAATTTTTTTCAAACCAAATTTTACCCTATAGCGCTCTCATTTATGACACTATCACCTTGAAAAACATTTGTATTTGACGAAAACATCAAAAGGATTTTTTCTCTTGTATTTAAAAACTAAAGCATTTAAATTCTTAAGTTAAGTATATTTTATTTTATTTTATGAAAGAACACAAAGACAGAAAAGACATGACTACTACTCAAATATTCTTTATAGATGATATTAAAAATCCTTTATTTGCTTTACAGATTCATTTGTTAAAAAGAACATTTTAAGGGATTGTATGAGTAATTTCAGGTGCACATTAATTTTTAAAGTTACATCTCTCATTCACAATGGTACCCTTCATGGATTTTTCTAAGCAAAATTAACAGTGAAGTATCCCTGTCTTTCTCTCCATCATCAGTCTATATTGTGACTTCCAGATTTTTTCATATAAGAAACAAGAAAGAAAATTTACTAATTAATTTCTTTTTAAAGATAGAAAAATGACAGCTAGTATATATATTAAAACAAGACATTCATATATATATGTTGCGTATAGTCTGGACCGATTGGACTGAAATTTGTTGTGGACACTCATGGGCAGCGTGGGGGTGACATAGGCTAAAAAAATCGAATACTCTTAATTTTTTTTTTAATATTTATCTTCTTCTTTTTCATCTTTTTTCTACTCAGATAAATGTTCTGGGATGTTATTGAGGATGTTTCATTACCGAGGGTCATTTGAAGCTGGGTCTACAGATCTTTTTTCACATGATACTTTGTAATCTTTAAATCATATTGATTCATTTCATGTACCGGACCAGATTTAGCTGTACAGTACAGATACAGACAATATCAGGCAAAAGGGGACGGTACGCCAAATGAATGACTCCCTCCTACTAAGAGACCCCTAGAATCTCCCTGAACAGAAGGAACTATTTCATTTTATGTACCGTCCCGTTTCGCCTGATATAGTCTTAACTACTGTACTTGAAATGAACAGGTGTTTACAATGATGCATGATTATTATAGTTATTTTTCACCAGATCCTTGGAAACAATTATTGGACTTAGAATAAGATTATTTGAGGCCATTAAAAATTTAGCATGATATGTGTTCAGAAATTACCAAGAAAAAGTATGATTTGAAAATGCTAATAATGACTGTTTTTAATTTTACAGTGTACGATGCACATTGCACATGTACCTTATTACATATACAGTCGTCGTATATATCAATTTAATGAAGAAAATTATAGATTTAAATTTTAGATTTCTACCAAGCTTTCCAACAGTATGTATGGATACACATAAACATGAAAACAAAAGTTGTCAATTAACAGCTTAGCTTATCTTAGTTGTATTGTACACTTGTAATTTAAAAAAAACGTATTTTTTGTAATCAAAACTTATTATGAAAATTCATCTTCATTGTATTGATATTTAAGCCGACCACTCTGTATGAAAAAATGTAATTGAGGGGAGGGGGAGGGAGGGGAGGGAAGGGAAGGGGGGGACGGAATGCCTTTTTAACAGTTCATTGGTTTCTTTATTTTAGTTTCATCACCTAGGCTTCATTTCAATCTAAAAAAATGTTTGAATATTTAATTGGAAGAGATTTTTAAAATACTTTTTAAAATGAATTTAAAGAAACGTATTGAGTGACGCTTTTTTCAAGAGTGGATTCACAAGGCTCTAAACAAGCATGAATGAAATATTCGTCGTTTTCATTTAGAAAGTTGATTTTACATTCAATTATGATTTCTGTAAACTGTCAGAATTCAACGACACTAACCTATTCATTGTTACTTCGATAGAAGGTTAAAAAGGTACCATTGTGAATTAGACATGCCAATTTTTATAATGAAGGATCACCAGAAACTACTTCTATGAGTCCAGTTATATATTTTTTGATAAAGTTTCCTATTTTTAGGTTTGATGACTTTACTGCTTCTGATAGTGCAGGTATAGGATATCCAAAGAATTAGAATATATGTTAGTTCCCTTCAGCTGTAAAATATATTTCTTTCTTTGCCAAACTATTTCATATCCCATTAATTAACATTATTCAAAAGAGAAACCCAAGATTAACCTATCACTATTTTTATTATTATCAGCTGACAACCTAGAGATGGGCATAGATTTTTTTGTGAACAATAGAGTTGTTAAAAAAAAAATTAATGTTGGACGAGTTACTTGGCTTGTTCAAATACTAAAAAACAAACCATAAAAATTAACAATTAAAGATGGTTTGAACGATTTTGAAAAAAACGACAATTCTTAACTGAACGAACAAACTTTTGAAAAAACTATCGAACAAACAAACGATTTTACTGAACGAACGATTTGACTAAACAAATTATTTTATTGAAAGAAAGATTTTACCAAACCAAAGTTCCGTTAACGAAATCGAGGTTTTCTAAAATAAACGGACAAGTCCGTTAATAAACGGCAAAAAACGTTAATATTTAAAATGTTAACGAAACAGAGTAGCCGTTTTTGAGATAAAAACTAAAAGTTGAAAACGAAAACGAAACAGTTTGTTTTTTAAAACGGTAAATTTCATTTTTTTTATGATTAAAAATGCAATCTTCAAATATAACATTGAAGAACTGAATGCAGTAAGTTAGAAACCAAAATTGAACATTCAAAACTTTAAAGAGGTTTAGGTCGTCAATACAGTCCCATTCTTTTTGGGCAACACTGTTCATTTTTTAGACTGTAGAGATAGTACAGGGTTACCCTGAAAGGATTGGACTTTAAAGATAACCTAACAGATTTTATTCAGACTTCTAACAGATATATTTTTATCTTTTTCAGATAATTTAATATTGAAGGGTTAAACCTGACCAGAGCACATATCTTTGTATTGTTATACAATATACATGTCTAAAGAATAGATAGAAGAAAAATACATGACTAAAGCATAGATAGGAGTAAAAAAGGAGGCGGGGGGTTCTGTTTAGAGTTAATGACTTTTAGAACGTCAAGAAAGTCTCATCCTTTGTGAATTGCTCTGTATGTATGAAACGTAAAACTATTTTAACTAAATAAAATAGAATAAAATTAAATAAAATGATGGCATATTTTTAGAAACTGGAGATATCCCCTCTACCAAATGTTGGAATTGATACTTGCTTTTTATCTGAGGAGGCCCAGGTTTAGTTAATTTTATTAACACAGGGTGTCTCTTCTGCTGGTTTAACCCTGAATATCGTAATTCATGATTGATCTTATGATTTTTTTGTACTTTTCCCCTGAAGGAATAATTTGAATAAAGAAATTAAGCTTTGATCCTCGAATTAAAAGTGCAAATAGCAAAAATTAATATATATACTTAGCAAAATTCAGTTATACAATTAAAAATGGATAAAAAAGACCCGAAAGCTAAGATAGAAATTTGGTGTGGCATAGAAAAAGCTGATATTCAAGCACCATGTAAATTAACTCTAAATGATTATAGGGGTTGATTTGACTAGCAATCATAAGGTTAAATTCTGTTAAAAATTATATTTTTATTAAAAAAAAAACACTCAAATTTAGGCAAAATATTTTGATATATAAAAAAACAGCCATCTTAAAAGCTGGTTATTTTTTTAAATAAAAAAACAACACATTGAAGGATTTGCCACAAACAAAAATCAATTTCTGGAAACTATGATAAATAATTCAGATTGTTTTTGTATATTCTGGAGAAAAAAATTCACATTGAATAAAATTGGGTTGGGGTTTAAAGCTTTTTCTTTAAAAAATGTTTGAATATTATTATTTTGCATTTTTGACTTATGTTTTTCTATCTTTAATCTAAACCTAAAATGTGAAAAAAGAATTGACGAATTAACAGAACTACGTAGATATATTTTAGTGTGGTCATCAAATTAACGTGTGGCATGACTGATTCACAAGGGTCTTAATAGGATGAACAAGAAATCATCACTTGTCTTGTTGACAATCCTGGGTTCACTATCAAAGGGACTAGCACACATTTATGCTTTGATCACAGACATGCAGGAAATAAACAGAATTTAACACTTTTAATGATAAGAAACAACAAAATCTACCACATATAGCTTCTCAGATAAATGTTTAAAGGTCACCGATGTGAATCGGATATGCCACTCAATAAATACAGGATCAATTGGATCATCTGGTTAGAAACACTAGTTGAGTTGAGCTGAGAATGAGAAAGAGTGAAAATTCAATCATTAAAATCCTCCTGTTTATTTTATATAATTTATAAAATTTGACAAATAATTCCCGAGATTTTAAATGTACAAATATAAAAGATTTTACGAAATTTACAATCATTAGCTGCTGAAGACTCGAGCCTTAAAGAGAGTAAAACCCAAGATGGTTGGTTCTTACTAAACTCAAGGCCATCCAAAACCCGGGTCTTGACTTGAGCTTTACGTGGGTCTAAGCAGACGCAAAGACCGGGTTTTAGTCGGGTTTAAGCTTTTAAAATCTCATCTCTGGATTATGAAACCCGCCAGGTCAGCGTGTAGATCCACAACCTCCAAAGTAGACCTGCCGCGCCACGACCAGAAGGGCAGGAATATGGTAGGTCACAAATAATTTCTAAATGATTTCTCTACAATGCTGCATTCTCAGCTCAACTACAATGTCTAGCCAGGCACTTCCTTTAAAGAAAGGCCTGCAGTCCTATTAAATATTTTAAAATTTGAAAATGAAGGGACTGTACCTGCATCTACCCGTGTTTATCCTGATGCTGATCAACGGATTCTTGTTCTGTCTAACCATCATTAGTCTTGTCAGGTGGGTCAACTTAGAAACAGTACTCATTATTAGTTAAGTAAGGTGGGTCAACTTACACCCAGTACTCATTATTGGTCTAGTCAGGTGGGTCAACCTACACCCACTACTCATTATTGGTCTAGTCAGGTGGGTCAACCTACACCCAGTACTCATTATTAGTCTAGTCAGGTGGGTCTACTCTCGAATATTTGGAAACCGTATTTAATATGAAATATTGAATAAGTAACAATCAGCTGTGTTAAGTTCCCACCTTGAAAGCGTAAACTGTGTTTTAAAGGAATTTAATTGGTTTTCAAAAGGTTTAAACACAGAGCTTTCTTTAATCCTTGAACAGTCAAAGTTAATTTAAAGGGTTCCGTTTTTGCCTTCTTTGCGTGGAAGGCCACTTGAATTTACACTTAAAATCCCTTTAAGAGTACTGTTTAGGTCTCGAATGAGTACACAGATGGCGCGACGGGTTCGGCAGAATATCCAGAGCTCTGGGTTAGCTCCCGGAGCTAGGAGAGCTGGGGTAGGATCTGGAGGATCAGGACACTTGGAGAAAAGGATTCAGAACGTTGTATCTAGGATTAACACAGACAGCAAGGAACAACTGGTAATGTTTTCACATATTAAAAACTAGCCTTTTAGGGCGCCCATCTTCTATTTTAATTGTGAACATGTTCTCTTTGTGTACATGTCTAACGAAACAAAAAAGTTCGCGGATTTAAAAAAAAATTCTAAAAATTTAATGAAAATTGAATTTTGATGAAGACAAATATTTGAAAATTTGATCATTCATAAACCTTCCTTGGTGCAAGGTGAGGTCCCACACAATATTTGGGCCTGATCGGTTCAGCCGTTTTGACGTTTATTGGATACAAAACAAACAGACAGACAGACAAGCTAAATTTATATATAGATGGCAACATTTTTCTTTTAATTCGAATTTGATTGTTAGGTAAAACATTTTAAATGCAATGGTTTATGTTAAATAGAACAATTGAAGTTAATAAATTTTACGAATTTTGCTTAATTAACTCACAAAAGAAGAAGTTTAACTTGTCGTACTGGGTATCCCAACAAACATGGGCATTAGGAGACGAATTCGAAATGCTAATTGTAAAACATTATTGAATTAGCGTTGTGTTACCTAATTTTAAAGGGAGTGTTCGCGAAAAATGAAAGGGGGTATAGACTAAATGCGATAAAAAGGCGCTTTTGATCGCTACTAATCTTGCTTCTATCTGTTGCGTCTATAAGGAGAAAATTGTTAAAGACGTCTCATTCCCATGTTTATTGGGACACCCTGTATCTAGAAGGTTTAAACATGTTTAACTCTGATATATTGTTTAGTTACTGTACACTAAACTGTTCACTGTGATGGGGGTACTATGGATATATTGTTTAGTTACTCTACACTAAACTGTTCACTGTGATGGGAGTACTATGGATATATTGTTTAGTTACTGTACACTAAACTGTTCACTGTGATGGGGGCACTATGGATATATTGTTTAGTTACTGTACACTAAACTGTTCACTGTGATGGGAGTACTATGGATATATTGTTTAGTTACTGTACACTAAACTGTTCACTGTGATGGGGGTACTATGGATATATTGTTTAGTTACTGTACACTAAACTGTTCACTGTGATGGGGGTACTATGGATATATTGTTTAGTTACTGTACACTAAACTTTTCACTGTGATGGGAGTACTATGGATATATTGTTTAGTTACTGTACACTAAACTGTTCACTGTGATGGGGGTACTATGGATGGCAGAATGTGTACATTATCTTCTACACCGAGAACACAAGGAAAATTATTATCAGAAAAAAAATATTTAAAAATTTTAGTATGCTGTCAAACCAAACTTTTTTACCGTCTTTTGACCAAAATTATTGACCAAAAATTTCCCCAACAGAGGGAAGTTAATTTTCTTAACATCCCTTGGGAGAATGATGTAAAATAACCACCCGTTTTGTGAAGTTTTGAGGAAAAAATTCATGCATTTTCATCTCAATGGACGATAAAATTGTGAACAGCTACTTTTTTGGGAAATTAAAAATTTTACTTAACCACAGGTTTCCCCCATGTTTCCCCCGACCAATTTTGCGAACATAACATCCTTTAATGCGCTCTGGATGTTTTGTAAGTAAAATTGGTTTTGGGAACCCTTGCTAAACTAAAATTACCTTAACTTCCCTGTAAAGTAGTTGCAAATAGTTATTACTGCCTTCTTATAAACATTACAGACACATGAAGTTTTCATTAAACTTCATGTGTCTGTAATGTTTTCATTAAACTTCATGCCTGTAATGTTTTTATTAAAAAATTCGGCACTTTCATCTCAAATGACAATACAATTGTGTAAAAATACTTTTTCAGGAAATTACAAATTTTACTTAACCACGGGTTCCCTTTACCATTTTTGCTTATACAACATCAAGAGCTCAGCGAGGGATGTTTTTTGCAAAGTAACCCTTTGCATAGTAAACTTTCTTAATTTCCCTGTAAAGTAAATCATTAAAATATTATGATTATTGATTGATGATGATTAGAAGAATGAGTGCTTCACGCTGGTTGAGTTTATATTCAGGTAAAAAATTGTTTTTGAAATATTTGTTTGAGGGAGATTTAGTGATGGGACGATTGCAGACGAATGATTGTTTAAGAAAAGAAAAGAAAAGAAAAGAGGGTGGAGTACCCAAGGAGCGGGGGAAGGCAGGGGGTCACAAGGCACAACCTGTTTTCCCTTCCATGCTATATATTAGCTATGTTGTTTTTCGGCAACCATGAGCCAAAATCACATGATTTTCCATGCCATTTTCTCTCTTCCGTCAATTATTACGTTTGTAAATAACGTATTCAGTGCATTCAAATTGCGATTTTTAAAAATCCAGCCAACCTTCTCTGTAATTAAGATTGTTTGGCTGCATCAACCTTCTCTATAATTAAGATTGTTTGGCTGCATCAACCTTCTCTGTAATTAAGATTGTTTGGCTGCATCAACCTTCTCCGCGGATTTCTCTTCTTCATCATCTTTGTGTGCAAAACCTCTACACTAAACAAGGTAAATCCTCTAAACACGGGAAATCCGTAAACAAGGAAAATCCTATAAACTAAACAATCCTCTAAACTAAACAATCCTCTAATCTAAACAATCCTCTAAACCAAACAATCCTCTAATCTAAACAATCCTCTAAAATAAGTTAAATTGAAAAATCCGCATACCTAAACTAAACAAGGAACATCCTTTAATCTAAACAATGATTTTTCAGATTTAACGATAGATTAAACAATGTAATCCTTCAGATTTAACAAGACAAATCCGCTAAACTAAAGAAGTAAAATCCTCAAAACTTAATAATTAAATCCTTTAAACTATACAAGGTAAATACTCTAAAATAGCCGAGGTTAATCCAATAAAGTGTCCATGTTAATCCAATTCACTATTTTGACCTCAAAAGACATATCATTATGGACTAACGTCTCAATCACATTTAAAAGGATAAAACTTTTTGAAAAATATGAGATTTTTACGAGAACCTTATCTAAGAGGTTTACAAGATAGAAAGATTAATTGACATGGTCACTTTGAATTATTTTCCGATTTTTTCTCTTGGTAAAATCGTAGAAGGAAATTGAACCCCAATAAAGTACACATTCAATGACGCCGCAAGTGGTCTGGATATACTTGGTAGTTGAGATGAGAGTGCAGTATTGTAGAGAATTGTTTTAGGATTGATTTAAGACCTATGAAAGGTTTATACGGTGCATATTTGTTCAGCAAGAACACAACTTCAATCTCTAAAATCCTAACAGATTGTACATTTTAGAGGGAAAATTTTGAGAATCGTATTTTTAAGAATTATTTAATAGCAACGACATAAAATGTAACAAACAGTCTAGTAATTAGTCAAATTTCGCATTATAAAGGAATTGAGTCTTTGCCACAAACTAAAATTTGTAAATCCCTATATCTTTGCAATCTGATAGCGTAAACCTTTTATATTTCAAACTTATATTATTTGATCTAACATAATTCATAGTTTGAAATATCCAAGGTCTACATCAATGGGTTGCAAAGTTAGTGAATCAATGTTATAATCAAATTTCTTTAACATCATTATATTTATTTTTCAATTTCTCTGAATTTGTTCAAATTCTCCAATTGAGACATTACAGATAACTGTATATAATTGCTTATTTTCGATGATAAGAGTTAATTTCTATTTTTCCAATATGTTTCTTAACAACTGTAAAATATGTGTTACATTTTTAATGGCCGTCACTGAAAAATAAAAAACCCGATTTCCTCCAAAATGAATATTCTATGAGGATTGAAAATATTGTACTGTACACAACCAATCAGGAGACGTCTGTAATCCTTTGAATAGGAAATGGAAAATCTTTAAAAATAGACAATATGAATATAAATGTTATGTTTTATGTTTAAAATTGGAGTATTTCTTTCAAAGTTGTAAAACTTAACCCCTGAATGCAACAAGTGGCCGTTAGATGTCAGTTAAAAACATTACGTGGAACCGTAGCATAGTGTTTTGGCCTACTCACCCTATCCAGGTAGAGTGTATGAGCAGTCTGTGGTTTAGGTATAGATCGAATGGTGAAATGGTACATCGAACAATTGTGTATTGCGGTATCTGTGTGTCTCCAGTGTACGCAGATCTGGGGGTTAACAATCTGTTTACGTTCTCGACTATTAGCATGAAACAGTGCTGATAAATACTTCAGATTATAACACATAAGAAAGTTTTACAGTCCTGAAGTGTTGATCAATGCCGTAAACCTAAAATAATTTCCTCTACGCACAACTAAACAATACTTAATCGAAACAAGAGAACTTAAACCTGAGGTAAGACCATAACATATAATTCATTTTTCTGAATTATTTAGATTTAAGACTTTTTCGAATTGAATAAGTATTCTGCATCAGCGCTGTACTCCATGTAATTGTTCTGCAGAATTGTTCATCATATGAGAATTGAGGATGGGGCAATAAATCAACCAACGCAACTTTTGTACTGTAGAATATACAATGTTTTGAACTTAAAACATCTTTATTTACTTTAAAGGAATATTTTATGCATTTTGAAAAGCAGTAGCGGCTAGGGGGGAGGGCATTCCTTTAAAATTAATTTTAATAAGTTCTCAGACAAAATTCAAATTTGCTATAAATGTTTTTAAACGTAACAATTTAACCATGTTCATTTTTCAGGTTTCAGGATGCCCATACAATAAAAAGCCAATTTGGATGTTTCGTGTCATGTTTTTCATATTGCTAAATATGCTAAATATTTTTTGAATAGTTGAACTTTGAACAAGAAACTTAACAAAATTAGAATATTGATTTTACAAATGTACAGTAATTAGTTTCTGCATTTTTATTCATGTGTAGAATGACGTCTATAAAAATCCCCCTCTTCTTGAAATGTTATACATGCTAACCATTATTTTTCTATGATAAGGGTTCTGTCCTATTCCCCTGTACCAACTGTCCATCAGCAATCTTTACTCTAACCTTTCTTCTTAAAAAATGTCTCTACACTGCATTCTTAGCTCAACTACCATGTCTAGCCAGACACTTTCTTTAAATAAATTATTTATGGAGTATTCCTTTTACAATTTTGCAATTTACAACAAACATAGGTTTATTATAAATCCTTCAAAAATAGGGTAATTTAATTTAAAAAGTTGTCAACAGTATTTACAGAATTTACGTACATGGACATGCTTATGTTTATTATTAATAAAATGTTGATTATTTAAATGATAAAATAGCAATCAAAGAGTTTTTAATGGAATAAAGTCTTTTCCCCAAACTCTCATTTGCTAATTAATCCCTTTATGCCATTGCAGCCCAAAAGTTGGGTAGACCTTAGATATTTCAAATATATATTCTGATATAGTGAATATTAAAAATTTGAAATATTAAAAGGTTGCAGAGATATAGAGATTAGAAATGTTTGAGTTTGCGGCAAAGACGTAATTCCTTTATGCAACAATTTTGATTTTTCAAAAGAGAAAAATCTGCGAAAATGCCCTCGAAGCCTCTTTATAATGAATTGATTCTGTTCAATTATCAAAAATTTAATTTTATGCTTCAAAATGATATTTTGAGGTATAAAAAATAAAAATATTTTGAATCTGTAAAATGAAGAATATTTAGATTTTATTACAAATTACAAAAATAATATCAGATGGCTTAAACTTTCTCGATAAAGAAACATTTCTTTCAAAAACAAATATAGCACTGCGAAAAAAAATGTTCTTTGATTTTTTTCGATTTCGCATTTATTTGATATTTTTTATGCATACAAAGTTTCTCTATCTGAATGCAATATGTACATCACGGAATAAAAAAATTATTATTTTATCTGACCTTTCCCTCCCCCTCCATTTTTTTTACATAACTCAAAAAGTATTGGTCTGAGGCTGTTGAAATTTTCTGACTTTTCCTAATACCCAAAGCCCTCCCTTTAGGCCTAAAATCGGGCTTTAATACTAACTGCCTGAGTCCTCAGGCACACTGCCTGAATGACTGCTTTTCCTGTAACAAAATAAATCTTTGTTTTGACCCACTTCCACTTGTCAGATTTTGATAAAAATTTAGCTTTTTGGAAAGCCTTTGACATAGGGAAACGAATTGCACAAGTTTTGCGAAAAACATGGACATTTTTTGCAAACAACTTGTCAAAGGAAATTTTCACATTTTTAGTTTTTCTTGATTAAAAATCAGGTTATTTAAAATTTAGCAAAAATTTGTGCATATTTGAAATGGCATGGTCAAGGGCTTTTCAAAAATGTATAATTTGTCATTTTTTGGACAAATTTTTTTTGCAAACATTTTTACTACATAACTAGATTTTGTGATGAAAATTTAATTTTTGCAAATTTGCAAATTTTTTGCAGATTCTAAAAGTAGAGCACAAGAGCTTTCCAATGATGTATCATTTGTCATATTTGGACATCAAACATGGGATGTAGAGGGGGGGGGGTCAAATTGAACCACCCCCCCCTAGCTTATCCTGGTTTTCAAGTACCCCAGCAGAGATAGGGTCAATAAATCAATACAAAATCTGTATTCTGAACACCATCCTACAGTAAGGTTTCTTAAAAAAATTTTGTTTATATTTCCAAATAAAAATGTTTCCAACCATAATTGTATATTTGTTTTGAATTCAGCAAATATATTGAATATTCGGAATGCAAGACAATATATTTATACTTAGACCTTAAATATAATTTTAATATGAATACAATGCAAATGTAGGGAACAAATGAAAATAAGGGGAACATCTAATAAAAAGAGAATAGTAGTATGGCGGTGCCGTGGCGGAAGACGAGTTAATCTGAAGAGTCTGGAGCCGGATATTGAGACCCGGCAAGAGGAGCGTATTTTTCCTGCCACGTCACCTATCGATATACATTTTTCAATGTTTTGATTTATTAATAAGTTATTTAGTTAGTAATAAAGTAATTATCTTAAACCGAGGGAGTTTATTCTGAGCGTATCTAAAGTAGAACTATTCATAGACTTTGAAAAACTTCTCATCAACTTGAGTGCAAAAGATTAGTAGTTTAACCTCCTCTACGTAGTTCAACTACTTGTTGCTATTCATAGAATCTGGACTAAGCGGACCCCAGTAGAGTTAATTTAATTAAAGTGACAAAAATATTAGTTCCGGAATTTCTTTAAAACTTTTCAGACCACAATGTGTTTTGAATTATAAGGTAAACCTCTGTTAATTAAGCTGGATTGAAATTGTTCAAAACTACTCTAAAGGATTATTGGAAGCTCTCCCCATAATATATTATAATTATTCATTATCTTGCGCCAACATTCTTTCCAATGCACTCTCTTCCTCTTAAATCTCCAGGTTCAATAAGGACCAAGTCTAGGAAGAGATAAAAACCGACTGAGGACGTTGGATCTTCTTTACTCGGAACAGATTTTTTGTCCTAGCACTCTCATTTCTGACACTATCGTTGTGAAACGTTGTGACTTTAAATGAAAAGTAATTTAAACGCCCCCATGGCTATACATAGATTTATAGGGTTAAAACTAAGTTTAGCAAAACCTCAAGTCTTTACTTGGTCTTAAGCGTACATATATGCTAAAGTCGGGGGTTTACTCGGGTTTCAATTGATTGTAAGTGTAATTTCAAGTGACCCTCCTTAGAAAGATGACAATGCCCGATTCACAATGGAACCCTTGAAACCTTCATCTGATCAGATTGTGTAATTTCCTGTACTTGAAATGCGCGATTTATTTCAGTAGAGAACTCAAAATTGAAATAAACAGTTCATTATATATCATCTATAAACATCTATCAACAAGACACTCATATATATATATGTTCCCTCTAGCCGGCCAAACGGCTGGACCGAATGGGCTGATTTTTTTGTGAACACTCATGGGTAGCCGGGAGGTGACAAAGGCTAAGAAAATCAAATTTTTTTTCTTACAATTTTTCACAATTTTTTTTCTATTGCAACGCCGGGCCCTTCAGCTTGTATATCATATATCATTATATGGTGAAAAACAAAATAAAAGCTCTGCTAATGTAGAAGTCCGAAAACTCTAAAATCTTTTTTTGTTTTTGTAAAATTTATGCTGGGGTTGGGTGAGGGGGGGGGAGTGGCACCCCGTCCTTAATACAGGAACAGCATAAAGCGGAAAGTTTAAAAAAAGTACAAAATCTTGAGCTCATTTCATAGAAAATAATGTTTTTGACTAAAATCAAAAGTTTAAAAGGAATCTTAAACATATTACAATACTGAAACATTTTCCCCTTTTGGTAAAAGCAATAATTATAAAAGAAAACGATTAATGATATTTAGCAGATGCCCTAAATAGATTAAAATGGACCACAGCATAATGTATTATATCTTTGCCCAAGAATATTTATGTAAGGATAAGAATTTTAAATCCAAAATGTGTACTCTCACAAAGAATGTGTACTCTCACAAAGAATGTGTACTCTCACAAAGAATGTGTACTCTTACAAAGAATGTGTACTAAAGAATGTGTACTCTCACAAAGAATGTGTACTGATCACAAAGAATGCGTACTTTCACAAAGGATGTGTGCTCACACAAAGAATGTGTACTCTTACAAAGCTGATGTGTACTCTCACAAAGAATGTGTACTCTCACAAAGGATGTGTACTCTCACAAAGAATGTTTACTCTTACAAAGCTGATACGTACTCTCACAAAAAATGTGTACTCTCACAAAGGATGAGACTTCATTAAAAAGTGAATTTCAATAATTCTCAAGAAAATCCGCGAAATTTCCCCAAAATTTTCTTCCAGTGAAAAACATGTTTTTAAATTTTATGTCCTTACAAACAAATCATTGGTTTGGTTAAACTTTACACAAACTCAGCTACTAGACATGATTAATGATCAAGTCTGAGGTTGAAAGAAAACTACTTTTAACCTACTAAGCTGTTTATTCACAGTTTGTTAAAAAGATCTTGGCAAAACAAATTACTATTTGTACTGTGTACTGAGTGTACTCTAAAGTGGTGAATTCATCGTACACCACTCTAGCTTATGTGCCGGGTACTCTCTGAACTGTGTACTGTAGGTTGGAAACATAATTGTACCTGTGGGTGCAACTGTACTCTTTTATATGTACTGTGTACTCTATGAAATCTGTACTGTAGGTTGGGAACCTAAGTGCCTGTGGGTACACCTGTACTCTTTTTTATGTACGGTGTTCTCTATGAGCTGTGTACTGTAGGTTGGGAACCTAGGTACCTGTAGGTACACCTTTACAGGTGTATATGTAATGTGTACTCTATGAACTGTGAACTGAAAGTTGGGAACCAAAGTGTCTGTGGGTACACCTGTACTTTTGTATGTGTACTGTGTTCTCTATGAACTGTGTACTGTAGGTTGGGAAGCTAAGTATTTGTGGGTACACCTGTACTCTTACTTATGTGTACTGTGTACTGTAGGTTGGGAACCTAAGTATTTGTGGGTACACCTGTACTCTTACGTATGTATACTGTGTACTCAATGAACGGTGTTCTGTAGGTTGGAAAACAAAGTATTTGTGGGTACACCTGTACTCTTACGTATGTGTACTGTGTACTCTATGAACGGTGTTCTGTAGGTTGGAAACCTAAGTATCTGTGGGTACACCTGTACTGGTGTATATGTTCTGTGTTCTCAATGAACTGTATACTGTAGGTTGGGAACCTAAGTATTTGTGGGTACACCTGTACTCTTACGTATGTGTACTGTGTACTCTATGAACGGTGTTCTGTAGGTTGGAAACCTAAGTATCTGTGGGTACACCTGTACTGGTGTATATGTTCTGTGTTCTCAATGAACTGTATACTGTAGGTTGGGAACCTAAGTATTTGTGGGTACACCTGTACTCTTACGTATGTGTCCTGTGTACTCTATGAACGGTGTTCTGTAGGTTGGGAACCTAAGTTTCTGCGGGTACACCTGTACTGGTGTATATGTACTGCTTACTCTATGAACTGTGTACTGTAGGTTGGGAACCTAAGTACCTGTGGGTACACCTGTACTTTTGTATATGTACGGTGTACTCTATGAACTGTGTACTGTAGGTTGGGAACCTAAGTGTCTGTGGGTGGGTACACCTGTCATGGTGTATATGTACTGTATACTCTATGAACTGTGTACTGTAGGATGGGAACCTAAGTATTTGTGGGTACACCTGTACTCTAGTATATGAACTGTGTACTATAGGTTGGGAACCTAAGTATCTGTGGGTACAAGCTAGAGTTCCTGAAAACAAAGCAAACTGTACAGTTTGAGAGCTGCATCAGTAACAGAAGCCTCATCACAACAAACAGGTTACATTTTCAGCTTTATTTTCACTGTAAGAAAGAACAGAAAGCTGTGGAAAAGGAACATTACATTTTTACTCAAAATATGATTTAAAATAAATATACATGTAACACAACAATTTTATAGTGTACTTGCACAGTCACACCCATTACACTTAATATGGTGATAGTCAAGTTACCAGTACATCCTTAAAGGGAGTTTTCGCGAAAAAAGGTTTCATAATGTTTTTGATTTTTTTTTTTAAAGTAATATTTCACGTTCAACTTGTTTTCACGACTGGCGCTGGATTTTCGAACAGTCCTAGAAAATATCGTCTTCATTATCAATTATCATTATCATTATCATTATCCTTATCCTTGAAACGGGAAAAGATGTTTTCAAAAGAAAGTATCAGATCATAAAAAAATTCAAAATATCATGATGAAATATCAACTAGAAAAGAATGAGTTGAAAAATTACCTATGTTTATATAGGTTGTGATATCTGAATGATTTATTTGGAATTAAATTGATTTTTTTACCAATTAAGTCGAATATTGCAATTTTCTTAATTTGTTTGGACGCTACGTTCTTCGGTATGAGTCGTTTTTTACAATTTTCACATTATAAACGAAACAGACAGAAGTAAGATTTATAGTAGCGATCACCATAGATAATCATATCTCTGTTTTTAGAATGGATTCCGAGCAAGGGATGAGTATATTACTACTCTACTAGCTAATCATATCTCTGTGTTTAGAATGGATTCCGAGCAAGGGATGAGTATATTACTACTCTACTAGTCATATCTCTGTGTTTAGAATGGATTCCGAGCAAGAGATGAGTATATTACTACTCTACTAATCATATCTCTGTGTTTAGAATGGATTCCGAGCAAGGGATGAGTATATTACTACTCTACCAATCATATCTCTGTGTTTAGAATGGATTCCGAGCAAGGGATGAGTATGGTGGTTCTAAAGCAGAACTTTGATTAGTTTAAATCAGATATTTATGAGAAATTTCATAAAAAGGTAGACTTCAGTATAATTACTATAACACTGTAGTAAATACCATTCAATTTTTTACATATATTTATAACGCCATAGATTAATGACAATACAGATAGAACACTAGATGTCGTTGTTATAAGACCTAGCGGTATTTCGTTTACAATAACCCTAAGGCAGAAATCCAAAGAAATTAAATGACAAGACAGAGAGAGAGTATGCGCGTAACTTCTTTGGGTCTATGCCTGAGGGTTATTGTCAACGAAAAACTTCTAAATCTTAAAAAGACGACATCTAGTGTTCTATCTGTTTCTGTACTCTTAAGTAGACTCTGATCACTGTTATTTATAAATTGTTCTTTCAAAATACTCATAACATAATTAAGTCTAATTTACCACTCAAAGATATTTCTGAGGCCCAGAATGGTCAAAACTTGTATTATATAACATTTTTTTCCCCAATTGTTCAATAAGACTCAAATAATTCGTTTTTATTTTCCGTCTGGAGATAGATTTACAAGACTGAGGTTTATAGACATACAGGGTTACCCGCAAAGGATGAGACTGTAAAGAGGAGATAAAACTCATAAAATATTATATTAAGTCTTATACCTTGAATATTTTCTTTTAATGTCGTATTCATCGACATGGCAACGAAAGAAACTAGTTTATACAGTAGTTGCAAAGAATTCTAATTATATAAGGAAACAGACAGTAATAAATTCTTAACAGTCGTCTCTGAAGGCTCATTCTTTGTGGGTAACCCTGTACACATAGACGAATAAAGTATTGTTACCAGCACAGTAGTTTAAACGTGTAATTTATAAAATTGTACCTTTTCAAATTCACAAAAACAAAAATTACAAAAGAATTAAAATCAAAATTCATAAATGTTTTGTAACTGAAATTTAATATAGCTTTCATTTTTTGGTTGAATATTTTTTTGATATTTTCTTAAGATAAGATTTATTCTTTTGGATGTTATTTAATCTGAAATCTTAATTAAAGGGAATGTAAGCAAAATTTCATGTGACCCTCCATGCAAAGATTAGCAACAAAACTCTTGAAACCTTGATCTGATTAAGAATATCATTTTTCTTGTTTAAGTGTTTAGTGTTATAATAAGGCATTAAACAAATAACAATTTAAAATAATCAAAATTATAAACATTTATATCCAATAATCCAATTAATACTTGATCAGACAAAACTTTAAACGATACCGAACTCTTTTTCGCATGATGGGTCACTTTAAATTACGCTGACAGTCCCTTTAAACATCTATTTTTAGGAGACGAGCGGGATAAAGTGTAAATTTGAAGTGACAAATATAGTAAAAATATGTTACACTGTGTATTTGTACCTCCTAATTTATATAATATGTAAATCTTACTAAAAAACTGAGAATTTTCATAAACTAATATGTAAGTAAATTAAAGTTATTTAATTTGTTTTCATTTTAAGAACTTGTTTTTTTTCAAATTTTTATTTCTGAGAAAGAAATTCTAGATTTTGCTAAACTTAATGTGAAAACATTTGAAACATGTCTAAAGTCAAGTTTAAACATTCTTTATATTTACAATACTGTACAACAGTACATAGTGCAACACATCACACATACAGTACATCAAGTACCCTCTTTCATATATTTGTTAAAAGGACTGTAAGGGAAAATCCAAGTGACCCTCAATGCAAAGATAACCTTTATCTGTTCAATAATGTGGAAGATATTGTCGTTTTTCTAAGTTTAAAAGTGTTCATACTTTTTTGTACACTTGCAACGTAGAAATGCGCAGAAAGTTTGTTTTTGAAATTATAGATATTAATATCTAATTGATACTTGATCAGAGAAAGCAAAGGGTAAACTGTCGGGAATCAGGTATCGACATTTTTGCATTAAAGGTCACCTGGCTGTAACAACGCTTACAGTATCTTTAAGTGTTAATGTGTTTGTATTGTGACTTTATTGTCTATAACCCAATATTTGGTTTGACCCTAAAATACTTGCAAGAGCAAACCCTCAAGCAACCCCCCCCCCCCCGCCCCTCCCTCTCAGAAATGAGTATTAGAGATAGGTATAGTTTTTGTGAACGAACACAATATTTCAGAAGAAACGATCAAAAAATCATTTTTAAATTGTTCGTGATTTTTTCTTAACTTACAATTTATGTGAACACGTTTCAGAATGAACAAGCGATTTTACTGAACAAACGAGCTTAGTAAACAAACTATTTGAATGAACAAACGATCTTACTGAACGAACTATTTTACTGGAAAAAGGATTTCACTGAACGAACTATTTTACTGGACAAATGATTTCACTGAACTGACGATTTTGGTGAACAAACAATTTTTCTGAAAGAACGGGATATTGAGCATAGAAGGAAAATTACGGATGATTTTGAAAGTGAACGAATTCCAATTTGTCTGAAAAACTGAAAAAAATAGGTCGTTAACAAATGATGAAGAACATAATTGAAAGAAAGCCGAACGCGCCAATATATTTATATCATTAAACAATTTAAATCGGAATCTGTATATTTGTGAAGATTAATACCCCTAAAATTTAAATCCCTAATATTCAAAGTCATAATTTGCTAGAATAGATATCTAAATCAACTATTTTTCTATTTAGACCCTATTCCAATTTTTACAAGCCTCTTGGAAAAAGTCTTTACAACTATTTATTATAACATATTTTGTTGTATAACTGTAGATTCGATATTTCTTGTATTTTTGACCCCCCCCCCTCCCCTCCAGCACATTTGGGGTCCCTGAAAAGAAACAAAGTTAAAATATTAAGAATTTCTTATTAACAATAAAATTCGTTTTCATACTTGTAAAACATGTATCCCCGTCCAAACCGGAAATAACCCAACATATCTGTAAAAATTGAATTTTAATAGAATTTTATAAAAAAAAATGTTTCCGGTTCCTCTCTCTCTCTCTGTTATTGTTCATGTTGTGAAAATTTGAGATAAAACGAATTTGTCAGAAAGCTTATAATACAAGTTGAAATTACACTTACAGTCCCTATAAACTTGATTGTATCAGAATAGCTTTTGTGATTCTTTGAGCCAGGCAGGATTATTTCTATCCACGTGGTGTTGGTAGTTACTGCAATTCACTATAAATCTTGTTGAATTTGAACGCCGGAAAAAAAACGATTTATATTCTGAAAAATAAAGTTATTTGTATTCTACCTTTTTTATTGAAAGAGACATTGTCAGAGATAAAAGGAATATATAATTGTAAAAAAAATTAAACACAAAGAATGAGACTGTATAGAGTAAAGACGACCCAAAACTTAAAAAATATGACAATATATAGCTGGCTTTTTGGTTTCTGCATTTAATTGAGTATTTTGATGGTTTATTAAATAATTAAATACAGATATAATCTAGTTTTAGACGACAAGGAACCCTAAATTCATGAAAAATAAACAAATTCCGCACAATCGTTACTGAAGTCTCATCCTTTGTGGGTAACCCTGTACTATATTTTGAACTTATTAGCGTTAAATTTTACCTGCACACCAAAATTAGGAGTATTTTATGAAAATAGAATTTTTTCAACAGGCTAGAAATAGAAACTAAAAATTTGCTTTCATCAAAATTTTATTTTAATCAATTCCTCCCTTTCCCCCGTACGCCCCCCCCCCCCCTCCAACCCACACACCAAACTATCCCAGCATTCTTTTTTATTAATTTATGAAGCAATATAAAAATATAACATTTAGATAGTTAGTAAAGCATTAGTAAATTTGTTTTTAGATTTCCATTTATTAATAACTTAAATGAGGGGAGGGGGTCGGGGTTTGTCTTAATGTAATTGTCTGACACAACTCAAAAGTATTCGGCATTTTCTACATTTCTTTGGACAAATAAAACTTTACTTACACATTTTTAATGAAATTATTATCGTGAGTTTTTACGAATAAGATGGTTGTAGATATGTCGGAAAGACTCTATTAGGAAACTAAATCTTATAAACGGCCCTCCATCTGCCTGGAAGTACAAGTAATGATGTAATGCATAATAAATGGGACCTTCCTTCATCCTTCTATACTTCATCCTTCCTCTACTTTTCTCTTTACTCTACTTAATGATGGAATCAATCATTTTAGACATTTTTACCGCCTTCACCAACTACAGGGAGAATCAAAAAGAATGAGAACGTAAAAAAAACCTTTAAAGAGACTGTGGATGTAATTTAAAGTGATGTTCCATTAAAAAAAGAGTGGAAAGTCTGATTGACAATGGTACCCGGTATCCCTCCAATGGTACCCGGTATCCCTCCAATGGTACCCGGTATCCCTCCAATGGTACCCGGTATCCCTCCAATGGTACCCGGTTTCCCTCCAATGGTACCCAGTATCCCTCCAATGGTACCCGGTATCCCTCCAATGGTACCCACTACCCAGTATCCCTCCAAGTATGAATAAACATAATATCCATGTGATTTTTTAGAAGAGGATTATGTTTGATTGGACTTCTCTACAAACATAAGTTCTTTAAATCTTTTAAATCAGATAAAACTTTCATGGGTCGCGATCAAGAGCTAAAGTGATTAGCTTTTAGCCTATATCCCCTTTCATTTTCCCTTTACAGTCCCTTCAACAGTAGGTATGAAAGTCCATCTTTTAACCTATTTGTGGGGTATGTACCAGTTAGAAAAATCAACAAATTTTAAGAAAGGGTTGATTTGTAAAAACTATAAGTGTTAGTTAAATTTTCTAATAACATGATTCCAGAGATGAGATTCCATAAGATCAGAAATTAGTCTACTATCAGTTTTAATTTTTCAAAAGACAAACATTTGTTCAGTATTAACACTGCGAACCAAAATGTGCACACTCTCACGGAAAAATCGGAATTGTAATTATGGGAAGTGTAATTAGAGGAAGTGTAATTAGAGGAAGTGTAATTATATGAAGTGTAATTATAGGAAGTGTTATTATAGGAAGTGTAATTATAGGAAGTGTAATTAGAGGAAGTGGAATTATAGAAAGTGTAATTATAGGAAGTGTAATTATAGAAAGTGTAATTATAGGAAGTGTAATTTTAGGAAGTGTAATTATAGGAAGTGTAATTATAGGAAGTGTAATTATAAGAAGTGTAATTATAAGAAGTGTAATTATAGGAAGTGTAATTATAGGAAGTGTAATTATAGGAAGTGGAATTATAGAAAGTGTAATTATAGGAAGTGTAATTATAGAAAGTGTAATAATAGGAAGTGTAATTATAGGAAGTTTAATTATAGGAAGTGTAATTATAGGAAGTGTAACTTACATGAAATTTAATTAGAGGAAGAGTAATTATACAAAGTGTATTAACATGAAATGTAACTATATGAAATGTAACTAAGCCCGTTATTTGGTTTGTAGATTTCAAACTGATTGAGTTGACTTTTACAGGTAGAGTAGTATATAGTTTCTAGCAAGGCTGGTTTCCCAAATATCAACAGAAAAATCAGAATTTGATAGAAACAAGTTTGATATAAAATGACTGGTACGCCTTAGTGCCCTTTAGTGACCCTTTATGACCTTTAGTGACCCTTTATTTTGAGTGTGCCATGTACTTAAACTCAAATATTGGTCTCTCTTAAAATTGCCATGGTTTCTGTAACAACCATTACAAATATCGTCTTAGATAAACTAAACCATTCGAATTTTCAAACGAAAAAAAAAACACAAAAACTTTAGTGACGCTAAAGTTTTCTTTTAAGATTTTAAAAAAATGTTAAAAATTTAGAGACTTTACTTTTTTTGTTTTGTTTTGCATTAAATGACACTGAAAGCATTACTAATATACAGGGTTACCCACCAATGAAGAAACTTCAGAGACGATTGTATTTGTTTAATCCGTTTATTTACATTCAGGTTCCTTGTGGGCCAAAACTGGCTTAATCATTTAGATAACTATCAAAACGGGATATCCTTAATCCCGATCGGTTTATTAATCTGGAGATTAACCCTATCTCTGCTGGGGTACTTGAAAACCAGGATATGCTGGCTAAATCCCATGTTTGATGTCAAAATATGACAAATGATACACCATTGGAAAGCTCTTGTGCTCTACTTTTAGAATCTGCAAATTTGCAAAAATTGAATTTTTTATCGCAAAATCCAGTTATATAGTAAAAATGTTTGCAAAAAATTAACTATCAAAAGACTCAATTGAATTGAGTAACCAAAAATAAAGCTTCAAATCTACACCGGACTAACCAGAGTCAGCAGCATTTTCGGTTTCTTCTATTTGAAATCAAACGTGCTTTGGTCTTTAATTCAATAATCATTTACTTTACGGATTTGCTATTTTATACATTTTCACTCAAAATGCATATGCCGACAAAAAAGTATTTTATAAAAAAGGCTAACAAATTATGTTTAATGGGTCCAATTGTGATCTTAAGTAACAGCTTTCTGGAATATTGACAGAACCGTTAAATCCACGTGAATCGTCATATTTTTATAGATGTGTTGTCTTTACAGTCTATTCCTTTGTTGGTGACACTGTATGAAAGGATTTATGAGCTTTATAAAATTGTGGAGAAATGATGAAGAAAAGGTAAAATTCCGTTGCATTTAACAATTTCTCAATAATAACTCAAATCAATAAAGTGTTGTTTTTCAGATTTCTTGGTTTCATTTAAAAAATTGAAATCTGAACAAATTTTTTAACCCTATAAGGCTACAAATAAAAGCTAGGGGTCTGACAAAAGCCTTAGAGTAAATGTACTGGGTTGTATTGCATGTGCATAGCCCAATTTGCCAAGGACAGTTCATTGCACAAAAACTAACTAAAATACAAGTTTGGGTATTAGGATTTTTTTTTACAATTATCAGATGACACAAGTGTTTTACGTCCATTTTTCGAGGGCTTTTCAAAAATGCCGTTTTAGATCTATAGCTTCAGTCAAAATAAAGTTATGAGCTATATTGAATTTTTTTTTTTCACGGACCGGACTTTTACCGCCCTGTAGTCCCAGGAATAATTTTGTATGTTCTTTTTTTTCATAAATAAATAATTACTTACTTACTTACTTACTTAGAACTTTTAATTTTCAAAATAAAAAAAAAACACTGAACAAAAAAGTTTCCAAAGTTTGTAAAGTTTGTTAAAGTCTGGTGTATGTTTAATGATTATTTTAGGGTTGTAAAGTTTCTTAAACACAAAATATATATTTGAGAACTGTGTTGAAAACTTTAGAATGATGGATATCAAGATTAATGCTTAAACTCCTGGTTTTACTATACCCAAGATTACTTTAATACGCATTCGATATCCAAGAAAGAAGTATAAAATTCAACCAATCAGTGTATCATGTTAAGATGTACTCTTTAACTTTTGAAAAACTGGTTTTTTTTCTGGTGTTAATTGTGTCATATCTATTGAACTAAACATCGATTAAATAAATGTAAGTTTTGGATTAATGTTTGTTAAGACGTTCGTTTAAAATGATGATAGTCCTAAAATGTTCTAATCTCCTAAAATATTCTTTAATAGGTTCATATTAACATGATTAAATTTATATTTGCTCAAATGCTCTAAAAGCCGGCTTGTTAACAGCTGACTTTAATTCATTCAGATATTAGTCCAATCGATATAGCATTGTATCTGTAATTGTTATCAAACGTAACTTTTATTAAGTAGGGATCTCCAAAAATGAGGATTAACAATAAAATCAAAAGTTTGTACATTGGATACTCAGATTAAGCGATCAGGATTAAGGATATTTCATTCTAAAGTTTTCAGCTCTGAACTATTAAGAACATCAAAGAAACTGCAGTCATTGCAATTTCCTTAACACCTTAATCTGATCAACAATTTGGAAAATATCGTCGTTTTTACAGTTTCAAAAGTAATAAATTATAAAAAACTGAAAACCCAAAATCAAAAATAATTGTATAAAAAAAGTTATGGATGTCATTCTAAATTATGAAAATTTTGAAGTTCTAACTAAAGACGACATTTACATGGGTCTTATAGTTTATTTTTACTAATCTTTACTTTCCAGAAGAAATCTTTTCATGCAATTATTGTAACATTTAATCCTTTGATATCGTTACAATCCTAGAAAAAAATTCCTAGGGAAATCAAGATCAATCCTTGTCCCTCATCTTTGAGGGTTAATACAAGACTTCACCTTCATTCCCAGTACCAATTCATAATTTACTCAAACCTCTCATCTTGTGTATAATATCTATCTCTCAAGGTCTTGAATAAGTGGGTTTATCAATATACATTTTATTGGTACAAATAAATCTGTTAATATCTATTTATATTAAATCATATTCCATATATCTGTAGAGTCCCTCAGCGGTAAAACCAGTCTCCACTAGCTCTTACATAGGAAGAGTCCCTCAGCGGGAAAGCAAGCCTCCACTAACTCTTATATGAGGAAGAGTCCCTCATCGGTAAAGCAAGCCTCCACTAACTCTTATATAGGAAGAGTCCCTTAGCGGTTAAGCAAGTCTCCACTAATTCTTATATATGAAGAGTCCCTCAGCGGTTCAGCAAGTCTCCACTAACTCTTACATATGAAGAGTCCCTCAGCGGTTAAGAAAGTCTCCAATAACTCTTATATATGAAGAGTCCATCAGCGGTAAAATAAGTCTCCACTAACTCTTATATATGAAGAGTTCCTCAGCGGTTAAGCAAGTCTCCACTAACTCTTATATATGAAGAGTCCCTTAGCGGTTAAGCAAGTCTCCACTAACTCCTACATAGGAAGAGTACCTCAGTAGTTCATCTGAGCCTCTGTTCCCTGCTGGGCTAGATGTGGTCTCAGCTAATCCTTCTATAGATAATATAACTGGTGATCTCCTGATCAATCCTAGCTATCTATCAATCTGCTCTGGATCTCTAGTCTCCACAGTATCTGCAACTTCCACAGCATCTGCAGTATCTTCTATATCTGCAGTGTCCACAATATCTGCAGTATCCTCAATATCCTCAGTATCCACAGTATCTGCAGCATCCCTAATATCTGCAGTATCCACAATATCTGCAGTATCCTCCATATCTGCAGTATCCTCAACATCTGCAGTGTCCACAATATCTGCAGTATCCACAGTATCTACAGTATCTGCAGTATCCACATTATCTGTAGTCTGCTCTGCATCTCTGTTGATCTACAGTCTGCTCTATATCTCAGTGATCTGTAGTCTGCTCTGCATCTCTACAGTATGCTCTATATCTCAGTGATCTGTAGTATGCTTTGCATCTCTGTTGATCTACAGTCTGCTCTAAATCTCCGTGGTCTGTAGTCTGCTCAGGATCTCTAAGTATGCTCTTTATCTCTGTGATCTCTCTATCATATTGGTAGCTCGGTAAAACCAATCTTGATAGATCCTCATGATATCTTTTTCAACTGGATTCATTGGCCTGTATTATCTTCTAAGTCTCCAGTGTTTCTAACCATAGAAACACCTGCAATATTAGAGGGTGTAGGGAGTTGAACCAGCTGTATTGAGGTGGAACTACATTGCTCTGATTCTATTGTCTATTCTACAGTTCCAGTGATCCTCTGAGTCTCCAGTGTTTCTAACCATAGAAACACCTGGAATATTACAGTGTGTAGGTAGTTGAACCAGCTGTGTTGAGGTAGAACCACATCTCTCTGATTCTCTTGTCTGTTCTATAGCTCTAGTGATCCTCTGAGTCTCCAGTGTTTCTAACCATAGAAACAGAATATTAGAGGGTGTAGATAGTTGAACTAGCTGTGTTGAGGTGGAACCACATCTCTCTGATTCTATTGTAAACCTGAGATATCGATCTCATCAATGGTTTATTGTACTCCTGAAGATATGATCATGTAAGATATAATCATGTAAGTCCACATGTTGTAAGCCTTCTGAGAGCTGTCCATGAAGTGCCTGTCCCCTAGCCTTTGGTTGAACAAATGGAGCTTGGGCTCATATGTCTGTTCGGTTCTAAGGTCTAGGGTGCACTGTTGAATCTGAATGAATCAGTTCAGGTTAACTACTCCGCATTCATTAAAAAGAAACAAAGAGATAAAGGTGTGCGGCTGGGGGAGGGTTTTAGCATGAGTCTCCTATTAAATATTACATTATTTCCAAACCAAATAAAACCTTAAGGCCCAACCTGTCATCGTTGCCTTAGTCTGTTCCACTTTAGTATTTATTCACTTTAGGGTAAAGCCTACATCTTTGAACATCATGAGGCAAACATTTTCTATTTCAACTAGCCATAAATCTTTTGTGAGTTCATATGAGCTTTATTTGCCAAACAAATGTTAAGTCAGGTCGAGTTTGCAGTGTGATTTTTATTGGATACTTACATACTATTACTAACAAACAAACAAAGTAATATAGTTAAAAGCTAAATTGTTCTCTCTGATGGCGTCAAAAAGTATTCAGAATCAAAGCAATCCTCGTCAAACTACTCCCTCTGGAACTGCGACTACAGCACCCTCACATCCAGCCCTTACTGCTGGGATCACCTGTTTCCAGGTCAGGGTTGTTGTATCTAGTTCTTCCACCTAGAAAATGCATTAGTGGAACTTCATCTCTACTCCATGCAAGAGCTATTTAGTATTTTAAAATAAAAATTTAATATAAAAGACCCTTGAGACTGCTTGAATTGAGAGTCTTCGCCCTATAGGTAACATATTTGAACAGAGAGTGCAGTATTCATAGAGACTCATTTTAAGATTCACTTGATACAAATAAGATGCATTCACGGTGAATAATGTCACAGTATGAGTGTAAAACTTTACCCAAAGGGATGGTCTTCTAAAGGATTGTTTTTTACAATTATTTTTTAAAATATAAGAACAAGAACACTGCGGCCCTTTGATCTTCAAAAACTTTGACTGGCAACTTAAGAAGGAAATGAGTCTCTAAAAACTAAAGTATCCAAAAGAGTACTTGTCTCAATCTCTAAGCTAGACAATATCAAAATCTACTCTGTATACTCTTAGACCCTTAATCTCAAGGACTAGATTATATTCTAGACTCTATTCTCAGCTTCCATCACTTTAAAACTACTGTTGAGTTCTAGACTATTTATTGATAAAACATTCTGGATATATATATATAGGGGTTACCCCTGTTATAAAGAATAGCACCACTGAACAAAGTGTACAAAAAGTGTATGAAAAAGTGAACGAATTCATGGTGTGCTATAAGTGTATTCAAGGTCTATTAGACAGATGTTTTCCAAGGTCTCTAAACTACCCTATTCATTCAAATCCTTACATCCCCCTCAAGTTTTTGTTTTGCCCCACCCAAAATCATAAAACTTCCCATTAAGAGAAAAGCCCATACCCCCATTAATGTTAAAGAAATCTGTTTTCAGAACCTGATGTCTGGAAAGATACTCTTGGAGTAGGTAATAGTGGAGCAGATACTCTTGGTTCTTCCTTTGGTGTTTGCAGAGGAAGTTTCTCTGTCTGTTGCTGTTGTTGTTTCATCTTCTTCAAAGTCTTTGAGGCTCCACAGCACGTTGTTATGATAATGGCTAACTCCATTGCTGGTTCTCCCTGTGCATATGTCATCATCAGTACTGCCAGATGCATGATTCCCTTGATGAACATTATCAGCAAAACGGCTGCTGCCATGTAATCTCCGTGTTGGCGGATGTCTAAGTCTATCCTGGACAGGATATTCAACTCTTTATACGTCTAGGTAGTTGGTAGCTTGCAACTTAGCACTTCCACACTCCTGTGGGGCCATGGTCACCCCAGTTATGTTGAGTATGATAGCCTCTTTCTCATCTACCATATAGGTTTTCATTACCCGGAACCCAGTGAATACCTGGATCGGTTCCAAGGTACAAGTGGGTGTGAACTCAAAGATAAAATTGCCATCGCCAGTCTCGCATCCTCCTGTGCTCAGCTAGCATTGTAGTGCCACATGGTTGCTTGCTCTTGGACTCCACCATCTGGCCCTGAGCCACAAACTCCTCAATCTCCATCAGATATGCATATTCCACTAGTTCTAGCAGGTTTACCATTCTGTTTCCCGTGTGCATTGTTTCCCCTTCGCATCCAACAGTATCATCAGCCACTCTAAATTCTCCAACTGATGTCACTTGAACAAAGGTGGTTTGGTCAATGGTGATATCTAACAGTTGAGTAGACCCTGGAGGCTGGAAATGCCTCTGTGTACTATGTACCCAACACCAATCTGTTGATAAAAGTACATCATGTCGGATAGTGGGTACTATGGCAACCTTTAAGTGGGAAAAGGGTCTCCAATAGTACCTAAATTTGGATTCCCTGATCTTGCACTTATAACCAGTGGCACCTGCTGTCTGCCATACTGGTCGCTTACTCCTGACCAGGATCAGAACTTCCAAAACATCCTGGTTGGTTGTCATCCCCATCTCATTCCCTGATGAATCTGCTAAATCCGCTAAGTCCTTGGCGGCTTCCAACAACCTTCTGCGCCGTGACATCTACCTGCTGCCTTCCAACTCTTGTCCTAGCACAGACGACTCATGCATCCTCTTGACAGCACAGGACTTCTCTGGCATTTCTTCTTCAACTGGGGCCGGTTGGGTTCCAGCCTAGCAGGTCCCCCTCTGCCTGTAGCTCCACATCTGGGGAACTGGCTTCCATTGGTTCATTTCATTTCATTGGGGCTGCCTCACTCTTATTGGTCGGTAGCAGAGGATCAGTCACCTCTGCTGGCGCCGGCATCGGTTTCAGCTGTTCTTCTACTGGATCCTTCACAGCTTCTGGAAGATTCTGTATCTCTATCCCTGCACCACCACTGTGAACTGGCAAGGCTAACTCCGGACCTAGGCGGCTGCTTTCTGCTATCTCCTCCCTTCCAAGTCATCCATGTCTGCATCTACTGTGCCCCTCATGACAGCATTCGGATTAGCTTGATATTTCTTCAGAGCTGGGAACTTTTGACTGGTGGATATTGGGATTAAGGCTTGAACCACTCTTTTTCTTAATCTTGAGATTAAATAATGCTGGTTCTCCTCTTGTTATTAATCTCCAGATTAATTAACTGATCGGGATTAAGGATATCCCATTCTAAAGTTTTCAGCTCAGGCAGGTTTCATGTTATCTTAGTGTCTTCCCTTTAGTCCTTGGCGGACAAATGTCAACCAGTGTGTTATATGCAAAAACTCAAATCCCTACCAACTTGACCCAAGCTGGATCATATCTCTCCAGTAGGACTCTCAGCATCTGTCCAATGACCTTGTGGAACCTCTCCACCAGGTTGGACTGTGGGTTGTAGGCTGGGGTAGTAGTCCTGTTAATCTGAAAGTTGGCCATTAGTTTGTTGATACTTAGTCTTTTCTCTTAAGTACTACAACTTATTTTAATCTCTATTGCTTAGGAGGAGATTGGAAATAAGAACAGCTCCAGAAATATGATCTCTTGATCTGTTTTAACCAGAAGCAAATAAGTATGATTGGGGATAGTGCGAAGATAAACCCAGAGATAAGGGACAGTGCTGCGAGAGCTTGAAAACTATCTCCTAGGAAGGCAAATATCTAAGAAATATCCTCGCTTAGTGTTGACTCTAATGCCGGCTTATCCTTTTGATCTCTGCGCTAGTAGTATCCAGTGTGATAAAATTATATCTTATCAAAACCAATTATTAATGTGTAAATCTAAAGATTAGAAAACTACAATCCAAGGCAATATCAGAGTTCAGTGTGTTGAATAAAAAACAATTTGATAAAAGAAATTTTCTCTTACATTGGGGGGAATATGAAATCATCAGACTTTATATTTAGATGTGAACTGTATAAAGGGAATATTAAAGTTCATGGATAATGTTCATACAAAACTAAAATCAACTACTCAGGCTTGGGGAATATTGAAGTTCAATAAAATATGTCACTGGTCTAGGAAGAACTTCTGAATTTCCATGTTTTCTGGGTACATGGATTAGCCATTCTAATTGCAAGGGGAATATTAAAAAACTAGTAGAGTTGATAAACTAGAGAGAACTTCTGAAGTTTTACATTTTCCGAGCACATGGATTAAGTTGATAGTTGTCCTGGATGAGGGAATATTAAAATTTAACAAAACTGTCTCCAATCTAGAGGGAACTTCTGAAATTCGTGTTTTTTAAGTACACAGATTAATTGAGGTTACTAGTCCTTCAACTTATTATTCGGGAAAATCTTCATCTTGATGCTTTCATGGGGGAATTTAAAGTAAGAGTAAGGAGGAGAAGGGGGATGGGGGGAAAAGAATGTATACTGAGTACACATATAGTCCCCATGGTTGTAAATTGGAGTACACAGATTCCCCTCCATCAAAGATCTATCCAAGGGAACTTGGTTCTCAACTATATTCCCAAGTTGGATAATTTTCAATACACAATTCATTTTTACTCTGGATCTGCTGGGTACACATATTCCCCAGTTGAATAATTCTAAGTACACTGATTAAATTTTCTCTGGATCTGTCGGGGAACTAGTTTGAGCACAGACATATTCCCCATATAGATATTTCTAAGTACACATACATAGATTTAGTCAGGGGCTTTATATCTTGTGTACTAACATATTCCCCAGTCAAATAATTTTAAGTACACAAATTCTTTTCACATCAGACCGGCTAGGGGAGACTTGAGTACACCCCTTCTACATAATTTTGGGTACATGAATTTCCCTTTAACATGATTTGCCAAAAGAACATTTTTAAATTTCTTAGAACCTAGAGCTGGCTCTACAAGTTCAGTCCACAGCTTGGATGTAAACTCATTTCTTGATCACTGTCAATTTCCTCTGGACATCTATATATGAATATCACTCTGTCTAACAGAGCTTTGGCAACTGTCTGCATTTCCTTATTAGGTATGGGGCTGCTGTCACCCATCTGGTGAAGTGGTCCTCTACTGTAAGTATACACCTGTCCCATCTGTCCATCTCCTAGTGGTCCCACTAGGTCCACAAATAACTTCTCAAACGGAAAACTGCTCCTCCTAGGTTGATGAACAAACTCCTTGATTTCCTTGATTTTCGGTTCTTAGCTAGACATTCGTCACACTGAGATATCCGCATCTATATATCTTTCTTCATTCAAGGATAGAATATATATCGGTTTGCTCTCTCCATGCTGGCCCAGACACCAAACTGTCCTGCACTCTGGTGGGAGTGTATAGAGTGAAAAGCACTCTCTGTCAGTGCTATTGGAACTAAAATCCTATTAACCTGTACATTAGTCCCAGGCTGAGGCACTGGAAGAACAAAAATCACTCACTTGTCCAGGCATACAACACCTGCTACTTCCCTCCATCATATGAGTTCCTCACCTTTTCCATGTACTCCCTCCTTGGACGGTATCTTCCCTTGGCTGGGTGGGGGTAAGAGTTTACTTCTGGACAATGCATCTGCATTCAGAATACTCCTAAACTGCTTGTGGATTACTCGGAAGTTGTACTGCTGTAGCTCTTCCAGCCAGCAAGCTAATATCCCTTTGGGGTTCTTCAAGGTTCTCAAATATTTCAGATGCGAAGAATCTGTGTAGAGCTCAAACTGAGCTCATTTCAAAATGTGCTCATACCCTCAAAGTCCCATGATGGCTGAGGAGAGTTTGCCCTTGTGGCTCGGATAATTCTTCTCTCCTGCCGTCTTCCTTCCGATAGCCCCTATAAACCTCTCTACGCCGTCTTGCTCCTGGGATAACTCAATGCTGTTCCGGAAAATCAGTAGTTAACCGGAAAAAGGGCCCCTCCCTTAGAAACAAGGAAAGGCTCTTACTGGCCCATTTAGGAATGCTTCTTATAACCTCCTGAAAATCCTATCCATCTCTGCCATCCACACAAACTCCCTCTTGAAGTTCCTCCTCTCCAGCTAGAGGGCACAAATCAATTCTAAAAGTGCTCCAAGCTGGGTAGAAAGGAGTTTGATGGGCCATGTTGTACCCAAGATCAAGCCAGTTATCATCTAGTATGTAATCAGAAGAGTCTGATAGAAATATATTTGCCACTGGCAAATGTTTTGTTGGATAAGATCAAATATATGATTTGACCTACCCTTTGTATAGTTAACATGTTAATATAGTTTTGTGAGCAAATATGTCTCTTTCTTCCACTCAATCTTGTCCTTTTACTTTCAGTCATTTTTCAAGTTTATATGGTGACATGGTTCAATTTTTCAGTATGCCCCTAGCTAATTCATTCAGGCCAGTTTGTTTTGTGTAACATCACATCTAGCCATCTTTCAACACTAATTTTTATACAAAGTTGACAAAAGAGTAAACTGCTAGAAAACCACATACAGTGATTTTTACAATTTCCAGTTGAATGTGCAAGTTTTCAATGACAAAAAGGTAAACTGACGTTGTTTCTGATGTAAAAAGGGTAGTTTTATGAAGTTTTAGGAAGGACTAATATGACAGCAATAGATGACAACAACCCAGCGTGGTTCCTCCATTGGCAGACTTTACAAGCCCTGGTCAACCCAAATTCATTCATCAAAGCAGAATCAATTAAGCTGGAGGCAGTGCTGACAACAGAGGAGGTACTGATAACAGCCCAACATTAAAGCAAAGCAGGCTGAAGCATCTCAATGAAGACATGCGGTAAACAGGATGGAGTACAGGGAGGGGAGGAAGGCCAACCACATAAATCTCTAGTCCGAACCACATTCTCCTCATTTTCTCGTCCAAACCACCTAAAAATCCTTGTCCTTTCAATATTATTTTTTTTAAGTGTCCGATCCTTAAAAATAAATACATTTTTTAAAAATATGGCAAGATTAGGGCATAGATGAAATATAAAATTTTCCCAATTAAATTTTAGATTTGTGTAAAAATGAAAATGCTTCATAAATGATGTTCTACAAAAAAGCGTCTGTATCAAGAGCTCTTTCATTCGCAGAAAATGCTGCAAAACATTCTCAAACTCGATGTAAACAACTTTTTGTGATATTCCAGCTGAATTTGGGTTAGAGATATGACTTACAATTTTTATATGATTAAATACTGTTTGAATTCATAGGGTTGTGACCAATTAATTGTAGCAAATGATTTGAATATTATAAATTGAACAAATCTACCTTATTTGTAAATAAATCAGAAATCAATGATTATTTTGTATGGGTTAAAATAGAAAAATTAAAGACATGCATGTTCAAGCCAATTCTTTGGTATAAATTTTTATTTGTAAAAGTTATCCATTTTGGAGGCAGAAGAGATTCAATTTTTAACCTAAATAATGTTTGACATCATTCTCGTGGATTTGAAGATTCCAACATCTCAAAATCCTTGGAAAACTTTATTCTAGTCATGTTTTATGCCCTAAAGTTGCCATATTTTCAAAAATGTATTCATTTTCAAGGATCAAACACTAAAAAAAATAATACTGAAAGGACGAGGATTTCAAGGTGGTTTGGACGAGAAAATGAGGAGAATGTGGTTCGGACTAGAGATTGCCTGTGTAACGATTTGATTGAACTGTGTGTCCTTTAGAACTTTGGAGTTAAGTCTGGTTGAGATTTAGTCTATGTGTCCTTTAGAACTAAGGAGTTAAGCCTGGATGAGATTTGGACATTGTGTCCTTAAGAACCCGGGAGTAAATTGTTATGGAGTAGGTATTTGCTACAATCCTTTGCTACAATCCAACAAGCCAAGCCTCAAAGGACATTGAACCCTTATCAAGTTTAGCTGCACTCGGTACAGCTAAATATGGTGGAGGTAGGCTCGAGCTGATGCAGGAGAAAGGGATTCTAATTGTACTCCAGGCTAAGGTAGAGAAGAGTATGATCATCCATGTTGTACCCCAGACAAGCCAGTTATCATAAATCAGTTTGTATAGTTAACATATAAATATAGTTTTGTGTGCAAACATGAAATGTTATTCCACTCAATCTTGGCCTTTTACTTTCAGTCCTTTTTCAAGTTTATAAGATCTTACTTAGCTTGTACCATTGCACTCACGGTTCAAATATGTTACCTATCGAGTCTCTTTCTTTAAAGACAGAAAATCATTCTTTAAATATCTTTATAAATAAAACCCTAAATTGTGATTACTTGAATATCCCCGATGCCCCCTGCCCATCCTCCAACAATGAAAACACCACTTGCCATTGTGACTATTTGTCCAGCAACTCTAAAGAAAAAAACAAATGGCAGGCAGGTATAGTTCTGTTATCATTAAGCAAAATTTAAAGATTAAATAAAATGCATTGAAGTTTCTAATGCTGTCATTTAGTGGCTTAAAAATGTTATAAGTGATCCACCTCAAACCAAACAGTAACTAGGGTTGTTAATCCTTTCTGAAGACAATCAAAACACGATTGTGTTTTGTTTAATTTTTTTATTGTTTTCAAAAAAGATCCTTTTTGTTTACGGAAAAAAAGATCATTTTCGAAAACGACCCCCTTGTATTGTACTTTTAGAAAACATTGGTTTTTTAAAACAATGGTTTTTATAAAAACGATAAGCGAGCAGGTTTAACAACTAACAGGCAGTAAATCAGTTGTTGGGGAGCTAAAACTTATTGATAATTTGTTTAAAACTTCTCAATAATAAGCAGCAATGCCCTTCAGGTGGATTTCCTCTCTCATTCTCTTTTCATTAATAATTGTAAATGAAGGATTCCCCTCAACACCATCGTTAACGAAACAACAAACATAATAAAAACAATTGTTTTGTTTATCATAACAAAACGATCGTCTAGAAAAAAAATTTAAACGATCCAACCCTCACAGTAATAATACATCGTGGAAAATTGTCTGGTTTTCCTTAGATTTAAAAAATTCTAGAGTTTAAGTAAAAGGGTTGTATTAAGTTAAGTTAAGATCATGTAGTGAAAAGGGTTTATAATTGTTTTCAAAACAATTGAAAAACAATCATTTTTGTTTTGTTTTTACTTTTTCTAAAAAGGATGATTTTTTTCAAGGAAAAATATCATTTTTAAAAACAAACCACTCGTTTTGGACTTTCAAAAAATGAAAAAACAATCGTTTTTAAAAAGAAAATTGAGGTGTTTCCTTTTTTTTGAGGTGTTTCCGTTTTTCAAAAAACTTTATAAATCTTTATTTATTTGAGGTGTTTCCTTTTTCTATTTAGGCATTTCCGTTTACCAAATTTTTCAGAGACTGCTGCATCTATGTAGCACTTTTAGCTGGAGACCACATTATTTTTTATTTGTTATTTTTGGTAACCCTTAATTTTATATCAATGCAATGAAGACGACTTTTCTACTTAAGTTTTGATTTCGAACCAGTCCTTTAATGTTTTCTCTCTGATTCCATGTAGGTAAAATTCAAAATTGAAATTGAATGTCATCATCATTGTATAAAAACATATGACGACTTATAAATTTTGTAAAATAGTTGTATTTTAATTCTACCCTTCTACACATATGCAATTAATACACAGCTGATATAAAATGACTTTTTATGTTTTAAAGGTTCATATGATCTGTAAACATTTGAATCAATGTATCAATCGATGAGGGTGTGGGTTGGGCATGGTGTTGAAGCTATGCACCAAAAAGAAGCTAAGCCCCTTAAGAAGTATATGTATATTACTAAAGAAAAGAATTGTCTTAATCATACAGAAAAACTATTCAGAGTAGCAAAAATGTTGAATTTATACTGACAAATGAACGCCCCCCTACCCCCTCCCTCATAATTCACAGAGCTAAGCCCCCTAAACCTAAACTTTGCAGAAACGCCTCAAAAAATGAGTAAAAAAACACCTCAGTTAAATGAAGTTTTGAAAAATACTCCTTAAAAACTTTGTGGAAATGCTTGAAAAAAAGAGGAAATATCTCAACTAAATTAAGTCTTTAGAAATATTTGCCTCAAAAATTTTGCGGAAACGCCTCAAAAAAAAGAAACACCTTAACTAAAAAAGAGTGTTTAAAAATATAGAAAAGGCTCAAAAAATTTCAGAAACGTTAAAACAATTTTGCGGAAACGCCTCAAAAATATTGTAAAATCCGTCAAAAATATTGGCATATCCTGCAAAGATAATTTTCAGCGAAAAAGCGGACACCCCTCAAAAATTCAAGGAAACACCTCAAAATATAGAGGAAACCCCTCAAAAACTTGTTTTTAAGGGATGTCTGTATTTTTCACAGAATTCGCGGAAACAACTAAAAAAAATACTTTTTAAAAACTTTATACCAAAATGATGCGATTCCATAGCACCACCCCACCCCTGCAATTACCTAGGTACGTTTTTTTTAAATGCGTTTGAATTTAGAATTTGTATTGGATGTATCATTGCAATTAAAATATAAAAGAATCGGTGGACGTACCTTGATTGATTAAGAGGTGAAATACTAGACCAGGTGCCCAGGGATGGAGTGTATACCTCACAGTCTAAAAGTAAATTTTTCTAACCAGGAAATTTTTCTGGTTTATGCAACGTAAACCATAAAATTTCCCGTGTCCATTTTGTAACCAGGAAATTTTTCTGGTTTACATAATGTAAACCATAAAATTTCCAGATTTCATGTTGTAACCAGCAAATTTTTCTGGTTTACGTAATGTAAATTTTTTTACTTAATTTAAATTCATATTTGCAGTTTAAAAGTCCGCTACTGCTGGTTTACAACTAGGGCTGTGCGCGTTTCTGGTGGAATGATAGTTTTTTCCCGAGAACGAACGGAACGATCAAGAACGATCCCATCGTTCCGAAAAAAAAACCAATGCTTAAGCGTGTTCTTAAAAATATTGGAACGATTAGTAAAAGAACAGAATGTAACAGGAATTGCTTGAAAAGAACAGTTAAAATCGTTAACGCATAATTTTTATCAATAATTCATTATTATTATCAAGAACGCATCCTAAGTTGGGAAAGCATTTTAAATCAGGAATGTGTTCTAAATTTTTTGATTTGATCACCTGAACCCACCCATCTCCCCGTTTATTAAAATTCACCCTAGTAACTTTGACTAATAAGTATAACTCATAGCGCTTATGCACGCATTTTACCGAACATTGTTACTTTTACTTACTGGTTTTGTCTTTACATAAATTTAAGAGGCTTTAATGTAATACTGGTACCTTGTTCCGGAAAATTCCGGAATGATTTTTCCGGAAATTTTCCGAAAGGATATTACAGAACATTCTTGAAATTTTGCAACTTTTCAGAATTCTGGAACTTTCCGTAATTCCGAAACAATGTTCTGGAAATTTCTGGTCTACAGGAAAAAATTGTTCTGGAAATCATTCCTGATTTCCGGAACCTTTTCCATAATGGAAATGGAAAAAATTTCCGAATCAATTCCCCGTAGGTAAACCGTAATCCAGAATTCCGGTGGGAACCCTAGTTCACGGAGTTCTCCAATCAAAATTTGAGGCAAATTGGTCAAGGGTTTATGAGTAATGAATGAGTAATGATCGGACATCCAAACAAACAGAGATTACTTCTTTAAATATATATAGAAAAGAGACCTGGTATAGAAGTTGTATAAAGTGGCCCCCCACCTCCTGCCACCAAAACCACTTCTTCCCCAGTGGTATTATTCTAAATTTAAAACTTTATTTAGAAGAAAAAAACCAAATATGGAGTAAATTATTTTTAATGTGATATAGTGGGAACTGATATTAGATTTTTGACTAGGAAAACAAAATTATTATCAAAACTGATAAATTACTTTCACATTCTTATAAATATAAAAACACGTTTTTTTAATCTATAATTATAAATAAGATGGAATCAACTGATTATTCTTTAATCAATGATTATCATAACTTTGACTGGATAATTTTTTGCTTCTTCCTTTTTTAAAATGCCGTTATTTTGTTCTGTAAAGTGGTCATGTTTCTTTTTACTCAATCATTGATTTTCTGATCTTATTACTGTCTAGAACTATAAAACAGCTCTTCAAATTGTTTTAAAAGATCATCCAGCAAATTTGTTTGATCAGAAAATTTGTATTTTTGATAGATCATACATGCAGAATTGCCAATTAAAAAAAATTAAGAATGTCTAAGTCTTTAAACTCATTGTGTAGACTAACTTATTAATAACTTTTTACCAAGAAAGTTCCGCATCCGAAATAGGTCCTCCTCTTAAGCAGGTGCTGAAGTTCAATATAGGCTCCTGAAAATAAATTTTAGAAATGGAGTTTTAGCCCCACAGATCACCACATCCCCTTCCCCTGTATACTGTTCAAAGCGAGTGACTGGCTATGTAAGGTAGTTGAACTGAGTATGCAGTGTTGAGGTGGAAAACTTTCGGATTCATTTGAGACATATTAAACTTTTTAAAGATCTGTAAATCCTGAGTTTGAGCACAACTTGGACATTCAAAACTCCTACTTCGGGGGTAGATACATTTTCAGAATTAGTTTTTTTAAATAATTAAATAACAATGACATAAAATGTAAAAAATGTTCTACAACAAACTACAAACGTCATGTATAGGTAAGGCTGGGCGCGTTCCTGGTGGAACGATCGTTCTTTCCCGAGAACGAACGGAATGATCAAGAACGATCCCATCGTTCTGAAAAAAAACGAACGCTTAGAACACGTTCTTAAGAATATTGTAACGATTAGTAAAAGAATGGAACGGAACAGAACAGGAATTGCTTTAAAAGAATGGATAAAATCGTTAACGAGTTCTTATTATCAAGAACTGTAATTTTTTTTTACTTGTTAACCAACTCTTTTCTATAAAACTTTTGTCTTGGATGGAATCGTTCTTTACTAAGAACGGAACGGTGGATGGAAACGTTCTTGACTAAGAACAGAACAAGAGGGATGGAACCGTTTTTCAACTAAGAACGCCAAGAATGGAACAGAACTGGATGACCGTTCTTTTACTCAGAACAGAACGGAACAGAACAAGAACGGAATGATTTAGCTTAAGGTCCTTGTTCTAGAACAGAACGGAATGATTCCCAAAAAGTTGGAACGTGCCCAGCCCTATGTATAGGAACATGTTAAGAAAATAAAAATTAATCTTATCATCGAAAATAAGTAATCTTGTTGAATTATTAATTTCTATTTTCTCATTATTCGGGTTTCTCATTATTTGAATTGAAGAACATTTGAAGAATTTAAAGAAATCTGCGAATAAATTCAAAGAAAATAAGAAATTCAATATAATAATTAACAAAATAATTGATTGTAGCATTGATATATTGACAAATTTCTTTTGAAAAATATGTTCCTAACCATCTAATTAGATTACTGTATAATTTTTACCTCATTTTTCCTTGTCGTTGTTTAATAATTTAAAAAAACTAATTCTGAAAACGTATACCCTCAAAGTAGGAGTTTACAGAATTTACAGATCTTTAAAAAGTTTAATATGTCTCAAATGAATCCGAAAGAAGTTATCCACAACACTGCATACTCAGTTCAACTACCTTACATAGCCGGTCAATCCCTTTAAAACCCCCCTGATCTACCTGTGAGCACATCATACCGACGAGTTGAGATTTCATCTATCACAAGGAAATATCTGTCCAAATATCTACAAGTATACACTCAGTCAGGGGTGTATTCAGGAATTTTTCCAAGGGGGGGATACATTTGTGTATCTTTCCATGGGGGACAGGGTCAGCACCTGTGAGACCTAAAAACCCCCTGAGAACCCCCATAGCCCCCACCCTTGGGCCCTGACTATGCCTCTGCACACAGCTTGATCTTTCTTTTTGTTAGAAATGCTGCTGAATATTTAGAATTGTTTTTGCAGGGATATATATAGCTTTGTAAATTACACCAGATATGTTTTAAACTAGAAATCCCTAAATGAATTTTTGATTTTATGAAGATAATTTTAGATAAAGAGTAATTAGAATGTTTGTTTTATATTAGTTGTCGGAAGGCTGATGTAGAGTATACACCAGAAATTCCGTTTCCACCGGAAATTTGCCTGAAATATCATTTTTTTTCTGGTGTAAAATGGTGCCAGAAACCCATTTACCAGTGGAAACTTTCCAGCTCAAGTAAACCACTTTCATACATGAGGATCTCTGGAAAGCATAGCCATGTATGAAAATTTTATTGTAAAAACATCAATCAATAATATAATACTTCTTTGGATATTAAGTCTGAACCTTAGAATAGCCCTAGCTTGAAAGGGCTAAACCATGCAGTTAAGTCCACAATTTGATTTTATTAATTTTTACGTTAGAGTATTTATACTTTGAAGCAGGACATAATTATTTTTAACTTTTTCAAAACAATTTATAAGAAATTTGATATTAAAACTGTTCACGTTCTTTATAAACTGATATCAGCTATACAATGAATTTAAAGAATTGGAAATTAAATTTTTGGGGGATATTTTGGGTTTTCTGCTGGAAAAGTTTTTTATGGCAGAAATCTTTTCTGGTGGAAAAACTTTTCAGAATTTCTGGCTTCCAGCGGAAATTTCTGCAACAGAAACATACCGGAATTCTGTTTTGGTAATTATGATTTCCGCCAGGAAAAATTATAGCTGAAAATTTGGCACTCTACAGTAATAAGTGTCCTAGAACTATTTCATAAATTAAAATTTAATTCCTTAGTCCGTCCTAGGTGGAATTAAAAACTTGCTATGAACTTCTTTGGTCTTTAAGTCCAAATCCTTTGACATTCATTAATCTTAAAAAAGAAGGGAAAAGGATAAGTTTCTCAAATACAAAAAAGCCTTTAAATCCTTTTCCTTCATAAGACCGGAAAAAAATAAAAATTCCCTGATATATTTTATCAGAAAGCATTCATTTTTTCTTCAATTTGAAGAAAAAATCTTTGACAAAAAATATTTGTAAAGCAAATTAGATTTTTAACAATTGTTCCCTCATTATTAAATTTTTCATTTTCTTCTTTTTAGTGCCCCCCCCCCCCCTTAGCTTCAGACCTGCATTGTACCCCCATGTTTTGATTCTCAGCCCTTTTTCTTTAAAGGAAGAGGGCACAGGATCCCCAAGGAGATACTTATCTCCTGCTCCCTCACCCTCTCGTCTTTTCTTTAAAGACAGTGTCCCTAAATAATTGCAATAGTATTGAAAAACAGGGTTTTCCATAAAAAAATATGTTAGATACTTTGTTATTGGAATACAAAAAGATGATATTGTGATAAATAAATCTTTTGATATCATAACAAATTCCAGACATAAATCCTAGGGGTATTAAGGTCAACCATTTGACCCCTTCTTTATTAAGGGACTACATAAAGGCTTCACTCTCAATCTCAGTACCAGTTTTATAAACTACCTAAACTCTAAGCCATTCTATAAGTTCATCATCTCTCAGAGTGTAAATGAATGGGAATTATCAGTTTACATTTTATTGGGATAAATACATCTGTTAAATTTTATTCCCTGTTCAATCAATATTCTTTGTGTTGTTAAGCAGCTTCCTCAACAGTAGTATAGAAGGGGTTTTCCTTGGTAACTTTGAGGGGTAAATATATTCCCTCAAAATTCCCCTAAAAGTTACCAAGGAACACCCAGGGTGTTTTTATAAAAGGTCACGTTTTTTTACATGTGAAACGCACCCCTCCTCTACCCTCTTCTATAAATATATTTTTTTACACTTGTTTTTAAAGACAGCTGTATGGTTTCATGTTTTACACTCCTCCCTGACCCTTCCACCTACACCCTTCTAAAGAGTTAATACATGTGTCTTTTGGATAGATAAATATGTTTTATTAATTTTTACCTGGAATGAAAATCTTCTTCCAAAAACATGTTTTACTCCCCTCCGTGCCCCTCCCCTCCCTCCCCTCACACTCCCCTCACCCTTCCCTTTCCTGTACATAGATAGATACGCTCCCTCCCCTCACCCTTCCTCCTCTCACCCTCCCTTCCCTCCCTCCCCTCCAATAATTGTGTTTCTCAAATCTTATTGGTCTGTTCCTACAAATGAATCATGCTTATATTAGTTCAAATAATACAAGGTAGGTGTCTCTAGTTTACAGATTGTAAACCTATTTGTAAATGTTTACTTTTTTTATTGATTTTGCTTTTGCACCCCATGGTAGAAATTCTGCAATAAAATACAGTCAAACTGTTTTACATTTAGTGTTTGATTTTTTCTTCAAAATCATTGATATACTATTATTGATTTGAGCCCAAAGACATCGCAACGAGGGGGGGAGTCCAGAGTTCCTCAAATAGTAATCACCGCCACCCAAATCTGTTTTGCGGCAAGCGCGCTCCTCCATTGGTAATCTCCACCACCTCAAATAGTAATCAGCCCAAAAAGCATAAAATTAAATCGCTTATTTCTTAGAAATAAGACCATATTGACCTCTTTTTATGGCCCTATGGTGTACAATATTGTTAAAGCTTTCTTTATTGCTCCTTAGTTTCGAAAATAAATCAATAAATATGCCACACTAAGTGCTAGAAATATAATACTTTTTTAGTTTCAAGTTTCGCTTTAAGAATGTTTGCGGCATTTTCCTCTGAATGTTGTTTTAAACTCCTTATATAGAGAGGAAACTTTAACCCATTATTAGTGGACTAAATACTTCATTTTCAGTAGTGGGTGTGATGAGACTAATTTTTCAAAATTTTATGTTCTTTATATGGATATAATTAGTTTTGTTGTAAATGTTGAACTCGAGTAGGCGAATACAAAAATCTAAACACTGTAAAGGTTTTTTAAAAATATCTTTTAAATGGAGATGGATATTACTTTGCGTGGGATGAGATAATTTTTAGTAAACAGGCAGCCCGACCTTTTAGTATCTTGACGCCAATCATGAAATGCAGTCATTAAAGTGGCGAATTGGATCTAAGATTCGGCTAAAATGAACTGTGCCTTGATTCTCAGTTTTTGTTGACCAAACAAATCTGAAAATAATTTGAAAATTCAGTTTAAGTCAATACAGATGCCATAAAACCCCAATAGATGTCGAAAATTGTGTTAAAAGTGCATTAAATTCAAATCACAGAAAACAAAATTTTACGGTGATTACTTTTTCGAGGTGGTGGAGATTACCAATTGAGGAGCACGCTTGCCTCAAAACAGATTTGGGTGGCGGTGATTACTATTTGAGGAACTCTGGACTTCCTCCCTCTCGCAACTTTAGGAAATTTTGAAAAAAAAACTGCGGCTGCCCTACAGCTGACATGACAATCCTAAAAGACAATTTTCGGTAAAAAAAAGTTTTGTGTTACGTATTTTAGTTCATATACTTTTCATCTCTAACATAAAAATAAATGATGAAAATTATCAAATACGATCATTAGGAGTAGGAACTTTATTTATCCATGTCTCCGACTTGCAATAGTACCCTTTCAACATTAATGAGATATCCAATATTTTTTCTAAAAGATAAAAAATTACATTATTTTTGTTGTTGTTGACTGAATACCAGCAAAATGCTGAGAAAAAACTTATTTCATGTGAAAACAATCCTGCAATATTTGCAGAATTTTTTTTTTCATACTAGCCATAATTGATATTGATCTTGATATTTCCGAAAAATGTCAACAAAAAAATTTAGATTCTACGCAAAAAATGTTCATTTTTTGTTGTTGTGTTTGTGTAGGGATAATTTATTAAAAAAAGCTCTGTGTTAGTTTTTTCCAAAAATTCTGATTACGTTTTAGTATTTACACTGTATATATTGTAACAGTGGGCGAGTTTTGTTGATCTTTTACGATCAGCAATTCAAGGA